GCGCCGTCCCACCCTGCCGGTCCTTACTGTGCCGCATCCCCCGCCGATCTTCTCTGCTCACTCTCTCGCTGCCGCAGGAGGAGTACGCGCAGGGGGTTGGCGGGTCAAGGTCCGCTCGCCGGCGCCGCCCGCTGAATGGCGGATCCATGCGCACCCTCTCCGACGACCTCCCGGGCACGCCCCCGCTGGCAATGGCGAGGACCACACACTCCGTCCACCAGCAGTAGCAGGACCACCACCATTGCCTGTCCTCTTTGATTCGAGATCCACGCTGCACCACTTCGTCCAGGTTCACATCTCCCTTCCCCACTCCTCTCTCTCTCTCATGGCACTCGATTCCCTCTTATTTTTTAGAATGGAAGTGGCCTGAAAGCCACTTGACTGAATTGCCATCTCTTGCAAAGTGCCAGTGCCATGATAATTAGATGCCTGCTGGGGATCTTCTTTTCATTGAAATATTTACCTATGATATTGAGCATAGTTCATTTTTCTTGAATTTTGCTGCCATGTATGTGTTACTTGGAAATTTAGCCATCGAGCATGTGCTTGGGCATGGTTTAACATTGCAGAATGATTGTTTGATGTAGGTGAGGTTCTCTGTTTTGTGCAAAGTGCAGACTGGGATGGTTTCTCTAAGCAGCCAATCATTACAACATAAGACTGCTGCTACCGGTAATTTCTACTTTTTGTTCTTTTCAGTCAGTAGTTACTTATTTAGTGACATTATCAAAATCAACTCCAGTTTTGTTATTTGATTGCCTCCAGTTTTTTTTCTTGCATGTAGGTCAACAATCCAATTTTGGTATTTGATTTCCTCCATTCTATTCTTACAGGTCATTAATATGAATTTTGTTATTTGATTGATTTGTGGTGGCTGGCAATTTTTTAGGCTTCAGGTCAGTAAGAATGCCCCCCCCCCAAATATAATTTATGCTATTTTCCTCCATTTTGTTCCCATCTGATATCCAGTAGATGTGAATTTTATTCCTTCTCCGTGAAAAGCTACAATTTTTTTACTAGCACTACTTTACTATCTTCCAAGGTGTGCTTCCATTTAAATTTTGCAGGTCCTTTCAATCATTCATGTCGCCTCTTGATATGTTTTACCGGAAGGGAAATGCATCCTCTGCTTGAACTTATGAGCTTTCTGTGTTTTTTATTTATTTCTTGAGTTCATGCATTCCTTAGGTTATGCCATGTTAATAAAAGCCCATTATTTGATCAGGTATTCATACTTGGACCATATGACAATCCTGCCATAGCCAGTGCAGCTTGATGACTGTGTAGTTGCTAGGTGCAGAGGGTGTTGCTAATAAATGGCCATTACTTGATTAGGTGTTAATGCTCTACTCAAATTGCACTGATATTGATCTTAAGATGTCAAGCATTTTTAAGAAGTGGTCTTCCTCGACTAAAATATCACGGTCTTTCTCTTCTGGTCAGTCGCAACGATTGTTATGTTTCTTTTTCTGAAGTAAATTTGGATGTCTGAAGTTTGTTGGACAACCGCATTAGCATCGGTTCAAAGCTTGGGTTGGTCTCGAATGTATAGTCGGTCACTTTTGTGTGATGTCCAGTTTTTTTCCTGACATTTAGCATGTTGTCAAGGATAACTTACCTATACAATATATTTCCTGGTCATGGGACTTGCCTATGCAAGATATAATTATAGTGGATTTAATATGGTATGCGCATGTCATCATTTAGTGAACTGCAAGTTTAAATCATGGCAATGTTCTATGCTCAGCAAATCCACCCTTTGCGGGTATGCTTTGTAATGTTAAAGAGGTCCCTTATGCTCCTGCGGATTTGTGGGTGATTCCATGTTTGCTTTTCCTGTGGTAGATTCCCTATGATGGTTGCCGTACTGTGAAGACTATGGTGCAATACTTCTAGAGATATATGGTTTCCTGCAAGTGGGTAATCAGCGAGGGCCGGACTTATCTCCCTATGGAGGTTAGTATCTTTGACAACCTTGCTTTATTTAACACTTCAGGTTAGAAGTACGGAGAAGTAGCTACAGAAATAAATCACCCTGTGGGTAACCAAAATACATCTATCCCTTATCTTACAATTATTCTTGTGAGGTTAGGAGTCCACTGCTTCTTAAGTTGTTATTTGTTTTGGTGCAAACAATATCATTTGTTTTTCATCATGTCATACTTAATCTATGGCACCATGTATGATTAGTATTAGACAGATTAATTTTTGTGTTCTCCATCCTCTACAACAACCACAAATAAAAATCCATGTGTATAAATTTTTTTGTGTTCTCCATCCTCTACAACAAACCATGGACCTACACGGCACTAGGTATAAAAAATCCTCATCCCTTCCTTTTCTATTTCTTCTCATACAATAGATTGAACACCCACGGTTCAGTCTGGGTTCATAAGGTGTGTATTTTCCAATGTATTCGGTTGATGCTTCATCTGATTGAACAAGGATTTTTTGTTCCTATTGTTTTACCATATTTAATTCAAACTTTGGATATCTACAGAGTTGGAATCATTAACCATTTTCATTTTCTAAAAGTGTAGACATTTGATTTAATTGCATAATTATGTCAGGGAAGAAGATATCTTTATGTTAGACTTGATGGATCAACATTCATTAATAAAAGGCAAAAGTCGGTGAACCATTATCATTTTCATAAATTACAGTTGTACATTCATCTATTGTTGTTGGTTTTACAGTATATTTTGGCCTGCAAAGAGTAATGAGTCATGTTTATTTCCTGAAATGTATTGTTTTTTATTATAATTGGTTTCTACACTCTTTAATTGGTTCCCTTTGCCTTTATGTTGTCATGCCATTATGTCAATGTGTTTCTAGCAGTAGGTCCTACAACTATGGAAAACGGGTAGTTTGATTGAATCATGCTTGGCTATATCCATATACTATTTGCCTAAAAAGATTTTTTACTTTACCCAACTCTGGATGTATCATGAATCATGCTCTATCAACATGATTGTTGTGTGTGTTTCTGTTATTGCTTACAAAGCTATTTCTTAAATGTTTAAGTTACACATGAAGTTCTCAACTTCACAACATGTAGCTCTACAATGTTGTCTTCCCAAGTTCATGTGTTCTGACTAGCTCCATTCTTATTATGTCCTGCCGCCCAACAAGCAGATGTTGTAGTTTGCATCTAAGTGTTGTATTGAATCTTGCCTAATGTACCATGTCGGTCCTCCTGGAAGATGCTGTCAGCGAATGCGCAAGTATATATGCAATACTTGTGGTTAATTAGTTGTTTCAATGGTGCAATATATATATCCACACCTTTTGATTTTGCTATGCAAAAGTATATTTCTTGTGTATTATAGTGCTTTCTTTGTTATCGGGTTGGATATGATTGGACCAGATGAGGCATTTGAGACTCAGGCTCTGAGGCACTAGACATGATAAACAAGCTTGCCAGTGGTTACTTGTATGTTGTGAGATACATGAGCTCCTTCTCAGATCAGCTTCATAATGTCATAGCACATGGCTTTCCTCCTATAGGACAAAAGCAATAATCTGAAGAAGAGGTTGCATGCCATAAAAATACAGTCTCAGGCACAAGAGCATGAGGTGTTTGCACCATCTGGAGTTGCTTTCTTCACACTGAGGCCATGGCGTTGATCGTCGATGGATGTCACCGGTCACTCTGATAAGTATTCGGTGATGTCATGCCACCAGCATGTGATCGTCGTGTAAACTACCATGTGATCTCCCTCTCCTTTTGTGAACATGACCTCTTTGTTGAGTCTATCCATTCTTTTGTACTCAATATCCCGCACTTAATGTCAAGTGATATACTTGCTCTCTACTGTTCACACTTTTAGTACTAAACTTAATGTCAAGTGGTTACCTTTTGTAGTCTCATGAACACACTGAACTCGATGCTGCCTATAACCTCATGACGATGTTGAACTCAATGATGTCTTCATTATATTATAATTTAATGTTCTCTCTTTCTTTTATTTTGTTGTCCTGCCTGTATACATATGCTAAATCAAGATCCCCTACTAACTTGAGCATTACTTGCTTGACTATATCGTTAGGACCGGCACCCTCGCGCCAAGGCGCGCTACCGATCTAGTTAAGTATTATTGTCAGTTGAAAGAGAATAAGTTAAATTTTACAGTGACCTTTTATGTTGTGTAGTGGCCTAACTTGTTTGAAAAATTGCCTTAGATTATTAAGATCAGAACTACCTCGAGATCAACTCGAGATCGATACAAACTGAGCATGAGTCACTTTCTACAGCTCGACCTTGAGCTTCACTCAGTTTGAGCTCACTCAAATTTTAATATAAGTAGAGGTGAGCCTAGTGCATCTCGCTCGAAATCGACTCGTTTGCAGCCGTATGCCCCTACCTTTGATGAGTTCATTTTTGCATCACTTTTTATTCTTTGTTTTGCATTGGTCATAAGATTTCCGTGATTTTAGTGCGACTCAAGGGTGCGTGTGTGAATGGTGTACCAGCGACTTCGTTGGTTGGTTTTTTCATTTTTTCTGAAAAGAAGAAGGAAAAAGAATACGTTAATTGGTTGGATCCGAACTACACGTTCGTTCGTTAACCGCGTTTCACACTGTTCTGGCCGAACGCAAGACACGGTCGTCGATCCAAGTTCTCGTGAAGGAGTTCCTCTCGCAAAAGAAGGAGGTGGAATTAATCTGATCCGTAACTACAGGCCCGGCCGTAGGTACACCAAGTCACCAATCCAATGCAATGCGATCCATGCACGGGCATGCAGCCCGCCCTCTGACCGGAATCACTGATCGGTTTGCATTTTCTTCTATATATAACCGTGAAGACTGATGAGTACGTAGGTGTCCACTGATTGATCTGTCCATTCTACTCTCTCGTCTAGATCGGCGTCGGCGGCTCGATCGAGCAGAGGAAAGGGGACGGCGATGTCGGCCACGACGGCGGCGGTGCCCTTCTGGCGAGCGGCGGGGATGACCTACGTCGGCTACTCCAGGCTCTGCGCGTCCATGGTGCGGAGCTGCCTCAAGGAGCCCTACAAGTCCGAGGCCGCCGAAGTCGAGAAGGTCCACTACTCCCGCTCCAAGTGGTCGGACGGAAAGCAGGCCAAGCCCAGTAAGTTCCTTCGATTTTACTTTATTTCCCTCGTGGTTACGTACGTACGGGATAGATGATCCTAGGGTTCGTGCACTCGGCTTGGTGTTTTCCGATGTGAGTAATTGATGACGATGGCACAAATCTAGCTAGTGTACGTGCGCCCATTTTGTTTTTGTTCGTACAAATGTGTTTTGGAACTGGAGAGGAAGAAGAAGAAAACTGACCTACGCAAAAGGATGTTTTGATGATTTAATTTGGAACCACATTTTAAGATTTTGAGATCTTTCATTCATCTTTATTAGTTATGCGCATGTATGGAAAATATGAGTACGCCGTTATTACCGAATGAAATGCTGTTGATGAATAACCATTAAGGCATGAATTCATAAATAATTAATGAGGATCCTACCCTGAAAATGATGGTGCTTATCGTCTCTGTTTTATGTATGCATAACTCTACCAGATAAAATAAATTATCTGTTCCACTAAAACCAGGAGAAACTCAATAGTGTTTGCTGCAGTTTATTTTTATTTTTATTTTGCGGGGGACTGTAGTTTAAGATTAACTGTTGAAATCCCACACAAACTTCTATGGCAGTCATGGGTTAGTGCTTCATCTCTGCAGACGCCGCAAAAAAATGATTGGAAAAATATGACCAAGGAAACCTTGCGAGGCAAAGACATATCCGTGTTTACTAATAGAGGACTGGTGTGGTAATAATTAGCACTTGCAGTTTCCAACGTCAATGCATCAGTACCCATAGCTCTGCAAATGCCTCAAGATCAGCCATACCCTATTTGTATGATACAGAGCTGGTAGTAAAGCAGAGGGGGTTTATTCGGCTGCGTGATTGCATTGTGAACATTGAGTAAAACAGCTGGATATACAGGTGAAATTTGGTTACAACTTAGAAGTGATCTATAACATATTGATTTTGTGTTTCATATAAGAAGCATCTATATTGTGATTGCAGGAACTGCAAAAGTAGATGTAGTTGAATTTTGGGATGCTCAAGTGACTGTTATAGTTGCTCTCTGAGTGATTTGTATTAAGTGTGGCATCCAAAATCTACGTTATTCTGAATAATTTGTTATCCAATTTATGTGATAATTTCGTATTTGCATAAATAATGTCTTCATTTCTTCATGGTGGGTACTAAACTAAGTAGAACCAAACGAGATTCTCCATTGCTTTGAATCTTCTCCAACTTTATGCATGGCTATCCAACCGATTGTCCGTGCTATCTGGAGATCGGGGCGGCTGGCTGCTGGACGTCCTGTTGAGTTGTGGTCTTGTACAGGGGCGGTTCTTTTTTATTGCAAGCTTAGTTTTATTCATATTTATGCAAAAGAGAAAGATACTTTAGAGAGATTAGTGCACTTGAATGCACAACTTTTTGTTGCTGGCACTGCTCTGGTCTTGTGGCACTCATTGTCTGGTTGGTCAGGCTACTGCCTCTGTCCGGTGGGCCTACCTGTCGGGTCGTGGGTTGACCAGCATGGTTTATTCCGTGAGGTTGAACCGTTCCTTTCCTTTGGCTATGGTGTGTCGGTTCTCCCCCATGGTTGTTGCTGTTTTTTCTCAAACGTAGTACACATACACGTACATATATACACACTCGTGTATCCGCACCCTATCAATATGAGCACATTCGAGTAGTTGAGCCAACATGTTTTGAGATTGACATACACCATAGACACCTCATTGTCGACAAAAAGGTCACTTCTCACTGAAACAGTATTTTGCCTTTATGAGACACGCATGTGTCAAACCTAGGGTTTGATTCCTGGTGAGCTGAGGATACAGCCACACTTCTAACCATTCAACCACTGGTTATTTGATATAATCTTTTTTTAATTATAGCAAAAGACATCTCCTATAATTTTCAGGGGTATACGGTCCTTCTCCCAGCAAAAGAAAAAAAAGATTTGAAAAAATGGTACACATCAGGTCTTGACCAACAAAAACCATGTGACCAAGCTCACGTAAATTCCATTCCCATGTATGGACGCAGGCACGCAGCTATGCCAGGCTGCAGTAGAGTGCATCATGTCATCTAGTATATTATATTGTTCTCTTTATGTTGTATTAGTCTTTGAACACTTTTTTTGTGTTAATGTTGCAGCCATCTGCGAAGATGATAAATGAAAGATCTGGTGCCATGGTGACACAGTCCTTCCTACGGACGTTTTCAAAAGCTACTGTGTTTCGTGCTGGCCATTCTACCTAAAACTCGTTATCTGTTAGATTTATGTTTCGCACTCAAGAATAAATTATTTCCATGACACTGGATCTGTTCCGACAACATTTTATTTTAACTTTTAATCGCTCCTTCTCTACTTGATGAATCATCTTAACTTCTGTTGTCTTCTGGCACTCAAGTGAGCGTGTTTTTATACATTATGGCATTGCAGACAATGTTTCTTGTACTAAAATGATGCTTCATAGACATGGTTGTGTCGTCATGATTATGTTTGATGTTGTTGGGAACTTCACAATGTCTTCCATGTCTTGAAGCAATCAAATAACAACGAGGTGAATGGCAATATGTTTGGGATGATGATATAGCTAGACCAACAACGCTAGAATAGGGACATATATAGGGAAGGGATGAAGATCCTCTGGTGTCATGAAGCATTAAGTAAATGTAGATGGCAAGGAAACAATGGCTCTTGTGGTTACAACAAAATGTTTCCGTAGACATGTATGTGTAGATTTCCCTATGGATTTCATGTCTACAAGTAATCAAATTGCTAAATGCTTGTGAAAATATACAACAAAATGTTCTGGCTCACAATATAGACCAAAAGTACTAAAGGAGAAAATATAAATATATGGCAAAATCATCCATAACTTCAGCTGTCATAAGGGCATGTTTGGTATCTCTCCATGTCTGATGGCTTTATGGCCTAGCTGGGAATGAGTAGCTTAGGTGACCATGCGTAGTTCAGAAGCTATATTACTAATAATTGATTGATCAATCAAAATCGCATTGTCTCCTCTAGGCATACCGCATGTGCTACGATGTCAAATCTTATATGCGAGAAAAATGTTAGATTGTTAATTGTCTCCTCTAGGCACACCCTCACACCATGTGCACTAAAATGCCAAATGCCATGGGTGAGACAATGTTGGATTGGCACCTCAACGATATCGCATCATGCATGGTTTTCATTGGTATGCAATTGAGTAATTGAGTAAAAGCAAAGTGAGTGTAGATAAAATGTAATATATGAGAAATGTTCACGGGAACAAGATATTAATTTTAGGACATTAAAGCTGAGACTAATCCCAGCCCTCTCACGCCCTTCACATTTGTGGCCACCCGTTTTTGTGATATATCATTTCTAGCCATTCGATCTCCTTTAGCGCTTCATCTCTCATCCAGTGGCCCAACTGTCCTAGAAAAGCGCTACTCAAGTGGAAAAACTCGTGTTTGGCTGTTGATTGGGCCTATGCACCTACGGAACTCTTGCGATGTTGTTAAGTTATCGTCAAAACTAATCTCACCACCATCCCCTGAATTCAACTGGGTGGGCCCTACTCACCTATTTTTTTTCAGCTAAAAATATGCCACCTAAATTGTTACTTTAATCACATTATTTAACTTACGTAGTGTGTAGCATCGCTCGTGGCCCAACTAGCAAATCTATTCAGACACCCAAAGCCGATCGATCTAGCCCCCTCTCATGGTGCATCCTCCGCTCCCCAACCTCTCTTCTCTATATGATATGTCCCTTGTCCATCGTGCCAACTTGATTGGAGGGGCCCACCGCACCCTTTTGCAGCAATTTCCCTCACCTTCCTTCTAACTCTCTCTATCACGGGCATCCTCAAGTCACAATGCTCCTCTTCTAATCTTCAACTTGATTGGCGGCGCCCACCGCGACATGTCAGCTTTCCTGGTGCGAAGAACTCCAGGTGTCTGGATTAGGAACTCGTATCTTTGTTTCTTTTATGAAGAGAGAAAAAGTAGTTGTACACGATGCTGCTACTTCTAAATCTCAGAGTAGGAAGAAGAAATCAAGTTTAACTGCACATTGTGTACAGCATCACTCGTTGAATTCATCTATTGGTCCTTCTGGAATCACACACAGTGACACAACCCATCATTTTGAGGATCGTGATTGTGATAACTTGAGATTGGACACAGCTTAACGATCTCATAAACCTTTGCACGGATGATCAGGTGAACACAGTGAACACAACAATAGCGCATCTGTCGTTGAAAGTAATAAAATGGATTCTAGGAGGTCTGAGGCATCTTATAAAGTGCATTGCCCATTATATATGTGGATCAGATTATTCTGATCTGAGTGAAGAGCTCCAGCTAGCCCATACTAACAATTGCCTTGACGAAAACGAACCTGCTACGGTGATGCTTCAATATCATATTAGAAATTATAATACTGATGTGCTAGCACAGTGTTTATATTTGTCAATCATGATAAATTGTCAAGCTTATTACAAATCTTAAAGGTAGTTTAATTTATGGGAAACTTAGGTAATTTGCACAACGCATGACAAGGAAAACTAACCTCTGGCCTCTTTCTTCCTGCAAAAAAAAACCTCTGACCTCTTTGTATGAGCTGATTAGTATGTTACAACTTTACTTCATCTGTATATGTAACATCATGTGGTTTTATTGTGATCCATCCAATCTTCTAGTATTCAACTCAGCTATACTTTATTTCTTCAGGTAGGTACCATTTTATAATTTGTATTTGTGTTTGCATTTTTCTTCTAGCCGTCTGCTTTATGCCCTCAGGCCATGCATAGCTTTCCGCAAGCACTCAACAAACTGGATTCTACATCATCACGCGACACTCTAAAACTTTCACTCTCCTAGACACAAGCGTGCGCGCGCGCGCGCACACACACACACGTTTTTGTGACTCCTTTCAGTCCTACAAAAGTTTGTGAAGTTCTATCATGAAAATTTTCAAATAGATGGGCACGGCAACATGCTGCATCAATGATCTAGTATATAGGGAAACCAACACTATCGGGTAGTGGGATTGGGAACCAATAATCCTACACCTATGAAAGCTGATACGAAGAGCTATGTAACCTGCCTAACAAACTCTCTCGGCTCCCCTGATTCTCACGGGTGTGGGCCCCTCCCACCCCTTCCATCCCATCACAATCGTCCGTGTTGTCTGTTACGTATAATCTGTAAGTAACTTTACGCAGGTCTATCATTACTCGATCGGGAACTTTGATGAGTAAAATTTTAAGATTTGGCTAAGGAGTTCAACATTGGGGAAGCTATGCATGCAAGAAGATCTGGCAGCGAAAAAGTGTGAGGAAAGTGTCTTGCTTGTATATCAAGACTCCATCATTCTATAAGTTGAGATTTTTCATAAGCAATGTGAGCTCAATTCTCGGGGCTAGTCAAAGTACCTGTCTCCGACATTGTCTAAAACTTCCTATTGTCTTCCATGCCTACAAGTAATCAAGCATATGAATTCCCCGCAAAAAAAAAAATCAAGCATATGAAGGAAATGGTAAGATGATGAGAATTCTAGAGAAAAGTGTTCGGTGTTAGCAACGCATAGACCTACAATGCTAGAACATGCACTCAGTATAAATATAAGGGAAAGGGATCCAGATCCAAGCTATCATGCAATAAATAAGGAAGATGATAATGACTACGGTTAGTGAATTGGGTTGATGCCTTAACACAGACGCGAGCGCCCGCGCGCACACAAACACTTGCATGCACCCACACAGATGCACAAGTGTTATTATGATAATCACTTGGTCAGTCATTTACATATACACGACAAGCAAACAATCAATGCCTAGTTTACATCGACACGGCAAGCAAACATTGAGTGTCATTTTTCATAGTGTACCCACGAGTACCACACTCCTGACCCTTGCGTTCTCCCTCCAATAGGCAGCCCGGGGAAAAGGGGTTGCCCATCGCTGCCGGCTGTTCTATACATGGCCTCCCCTTGCTGGCAGCATATGTTCTGAGTAGAATGAAGCTGGTGTGCAAATAAATGGACCATTGCTTCATCTTCACACATTCATACACTAGTAGAAAAAGACTCATTTGTCCCGGTTCCAGAGGCCCATTTGTTCCGGTTCTGGAACCAGGACAAAAGGATCGGGACTAAAGCCCAATACCTTTAGTCCAGGTTCGCCTATGAACCGGGACAGATGGGGTTCCACGTGGCCGCTGCGGCTTGCCCAGGCAGGAGGACCTTTTATCCCGGTTGGTAGCACCAACCGGGACCAAAAGCATCCACGCGTCAGCAGTTCAGGGGCTGGGGTTTTTGTTTTTTGTTTTTCTGAAAGGGGGGGGAGGGGGGTGTGGGGGTTTTGGGGGTTATATAGGGTTAATTTAGGGGTTTCATATATTGTGTTAGCTAGCTATTAGAGAGAAGTGTCCTCTCTTATCTCCGTGCTTGGTCGACGATACGTACTATAGGTATAGAGACGACACGACACGCTAGCTAGTAAGCAAACGAAGGAAACCATTAAGTACACAAGATCATCATATATAGAGAGAAGTGATCGACCTCTCCTTCTCTGAGTGATTGGTCGAACAACAAGTTTTCCTATATCTATCCGACGCTACTGGCTACATATATACAATATAAGATCTCTTACAATTCCCTAACATCTAATGTCAAATTCCACATGGAATTCTCCGGCTTTACTTATGACGTGGTCAAGAAAGAATCCCGCCAATTCCTCTTGAATTGCTCGTATGCAATCTTGTGGTAGGAGTTTATTCCGCATCTGCCACATCTAATTCGAAGAAGGGGGTCAATGCATATATATGGATGAAACTCAACACAAATGATGGTAATAAAATAAAATTGTGAATATTATTGCTTACACGCTTCATATTGTTTTTTAGAGTATAGCCATGCTTAGAGCTCGTCGCGTTGTAGATGAACTCGCAAACGTAGTATCCATAGTAATCATTCCCGGGTTCCTGCCACAAGCACTTTACGAGAAATAGAGGTCAATCAAACTGATAATCAAGCATTATAAATGGTATTGATGAAAGTAGCTAGAATCAATTGGAGATGCGCGGAACTAGCTAGTAGTACTTACTTTCGGGTGTGTAAATCGCAGCTCCCCCGGCAGTCCCGGAGCTTTTGCGCTCTTTCCAAACCCTGCAAGACAAAGAAAATAATTACTTGATATTAGGAAATGAACAAAGTTGCCGATATGATGCAATAATGATCGATTGAACTTACTTTTGGAGCA